AGTAGGACAGGGACGGAAGGCACGCTGGTGCGCTTATGCACGCTCCCTTTACGGACCTCTGAGGAATGGGGTGAGGTCCACAGTGGACAATTTAAAGTTGAAGTTTTGGGGGTTTGAGGAAATAACAACGGAGTCAGGTAGAGCATTCCAGGCGTTGACCACTCTGTGGCTGAAGTCGTATTTTCTGCAATCGAGTTTGGAGCGGTTTATCTTGAGTTCCTATTGATTGTTTGCCCAAATATTATTGAGGTTGAAGCTGACGTAGTCATTGACATGTAGGACGTTGTAGCAGACAATTTTGTGTACTACGCTTAGGTCAGACCGAAGGTGGCGTAGCTCCAGGTAGTCTTGGACCATTAATGGCTGTGCATAGTAGTTTTATTTTAATAAATTAAAATAACACATTAAATTAATACATTTAATTTTAACGTTATGTTTAATAACATGAATGGTTGTGTTATGTTTAAGTGAGAACTGATTCCCCTCTTTCTCTCTCCATAGGCTTTCTATACCCAACCCATGGTAGCCACTGCTGTGATTATCCACTTAGTAACAGATGGGACGTGGCTGGAGATGGACCTTGACCAGAAACAAGAGTCCATTTTCGTGCAGCTGGTGGACACTAAAAACCAAAGTCACGATCTCGGTGAGAAGGCTAGCTCAGTTATAACACAACATGAAATAAAATGTTGGTGTTTTGTTTTTTTTAAACTTCCCCTTGGAATAGGCCAGAGAACAGGAAGATTTAAAAGAAAAAATTAGACACGCAAAAATCAGCAGCAGGTTAATTTCATGGAGTTTCACCAGCTCATTTGGGTGGGGAAACAATTTTCATTGATTCTTTCTATGTTTCTACGTGTTTATTGTTGATTTTAATTCAGGGGCCGATAAGCACAAAGCTGAGCTGACAACCCTGGATTCCCACTGGGTGGCATTTAATACGATGCCAAGTATGTGGCTCGGATCTCTTGCAATGTTAGAATCCTATTCAGTAAAGATCCAATGGATTTCTAAGGATAACAGAATAACAGAGTTGGAAGGGACCTTGGAGTAGATGTGATAGATAGGATAGATAGATAGATAGATAGATAGATAGATAGATAGATAGATAGATAGATAGATAGATAGATAGATAGA